ACCCCCTTTCTTTTACAGTAAGAATATGATATTCAGAGAGTAAGGCATCAAAGCCAAGCAGTGGATCAGATAGCCTGAACCCCAAGACACAATTTAAAAAAAAATCAGCTAATTTTGCTTTTATGCTAATTTTGCTTTTAATGCTATTTATCTTGTCTGTTGGCAGTTCAGACTTCATTCCACCCCAGAATCCCTGAGTACTGAAATGAATGAAATTAAGTAGTGTAATCATATATCTCTACCTAACTGCTTGCCTTCTTTGCATAATCCCATTTTTTATTCATTTGTATCCAAATGAATCTAAAGAATGTAAGGACAGTATGGTCAAAGTCACTGTACAAACAAAATACACTAGCCCCAACACCAGAATTTAAAACATATTTTAAGAATGGAAAGCCTGGAAGAAACATATCCTACTTTGAAATATAAATAGTTCTGCTTCAAATGTAGGATTAATCCTCCACCTAAACATTTACAGAGGCTCATGATATTCAGCCATTCCCACAAACTGCTTGTGTGAGGGACTTTCAGGTCTAATCCTCTTGAACACAGATTTAATGCAGTTTTGCCCTACCTTCAGAGTATTTCCTTCCCCTTCCTGCCATTACACTCCCGTATTCTGCATTTGTATGTCTTTATTTTTAACTGATGTGCAAGCCATCAGTTACTCTCTCCTCTGAGAGAGTACAACCACTTACAGGTCTGGGATTTTACTGTATGTATAATAAAAGATTTTATTTTTTTCGTCGAGACAATTACTATGATTGCATCTGGGTTTAATTTCTCTCCTTAAACAAGTTTTGTGATTATCCAGAGCATAATGCCATTAACAATTTTATACAGCTGAGCTCTACCATGAGGGAGAAAGAAATGCTTGAAAAGCAGATTTATGAATTACAGGCAATGAATGTTGCTGGATCATGAAGACTCCTACTACAATTACAAGTAGCTAGTTTCAAGGAAGCCTAAGATTCCCAATAAAGTTTAAGCACCTCCAGCTTTAGAAGGGACAACATTGTGTCCTCCCTTCAGGGAGGAGCCTCCAGCAGCTCCCCTTGGCCTTTTCCCATTCACATGGCTGTGTAGCTCAGGCTCAGCTGGCTCGGACAAATCCTCAGGTAGATACTGATTATCATCCCCCTGTCCAGGGCACTACACCACTTCCAAAGCTGTGGGTATACAAGGGAAGCATGATCCTTTCTCCTGATGCTGGAAGCCACAAGTTTCAAGCTTCTTGACAGATACCCTCCACTACCTACCACTGTCTTTCCTGTCTCAGGTTGTGCAGCCCTTGTCTCTGCAAACTTCAGCAAAAGCCCTTTAACTCCCTCTTCCATGGAAGCACCTGCTTGTTATTGCACCAGAGAGCCACAGAAGCATTCAGCACTGCTGCTAAGGGGTTGCAAGAGTCATGAGGGGAAAGCTGCTCCCCACCTTCCCCAAAGTATGAACCTTCCCCAAAGTATGAAGAATAGTTCTAAAGCACAGAGGCTGCCTCACAGGTCCTATACAGAATGCAAAACATACCTGAGGGAGGCAGAGAGCATAGCTGAAGTGCTTTGTTTTACCTTTCCTTGTAGCATCACAAGGAGTGATTAACCAGGATGAAGGATGAGAAATTACCAATAGACAGGCCAGACAGATTTGGATCACTTACTGCTGCCAGAAAAAATAACTTATTTTTGTTTATTAACTTTCTGCTCCATAATCCAAGCATTTACTTCCAGACCCCACCTGCAATTAGCAGTACAGTGTCTTAGTAACACATACATTAACTTTTGTTCTTGGATTATATTAGAGATCAGAAACACCAAAGGATGCAGGGCACCAAAAACTGCACAGATAGTGAGAAGACAATGCAGTTGTCAGAATTCATGTCTGGGGGAAAAATTATGTAGAGTATTTAAATTCCAGGTATGAACAATTGCATTATTTACTACTACACTATTAATTTGCATTGATGTTATGTTATGATGTTATGAAAAATAGCTAATTGATGTTACTTAAGTAGCTTATGTAAAAACTGCAGAAGTCAGCCGTACGGATACACTGGCCAGTAGGAAATAGCTTAAACACTGTGGTCAAATGAGTGGTTAAGGTAACTCAAAGAATCACTGTTAAATGTATTATTAAAAGCAGGTTTTATATAAATTTATGAATGTACGACTTCACAAAGTGCTATGGAAAGGTTTACTCTATTATTTATTACGTAGATGAAGCATACAAAGGAAAATCTGACTAGAATCAATTTAGAATTATTTACTCAGAAGTGGGGGATGCAAAAGAGTAAGGGTGAAGAAGAATAAGAGAGACCCTCCTGTTGAGTCACAAAGCTCAGAGAGGGGCCCCTTGCTTTTTAAATTCCTGATAGATCCTAGGTGAGGCTGAGTCCAGTTTCAGTACCATATAGTTTAGTCTAAAGGCTTTAGCTGCACTTAATAATTGACTAATTTAACATTGGTAAAAGGATTCAGTAGAATTTACTACAGTTAACACAGTAACTTAATTATGGATCCAAGAAGCAACATTAATGTTAGACTTGCTATAGTGTGTTTCAGTCAATTCACACACACAAATATATACAGGCATAAATCTGTGTATATATAAATTTACCGAGGTATACCTGTTAAAAATTCCCCTCAAGTTCAGTGAAATACTAAGGTCAAATGCCTTGTCATTTCTCAGTGGGTGAGACTTGAACCTTGAGGTGGGGGGGGGGAGTCAGACCATGTCCCACCATCAGTTTTCAGTGACAGTTCTGCCAGTATTGCAAATTTGAGAGTTGGTGAGCTCTGAACGGCTTCCCTCTCAGAGAGAGATGCTGCTGCATCCCACTGCATTCCAGGAGAGCTCAAAGGGCCTCACTTAAAACAGCCACTTATAGAGTCAAAAAATGCTTGTTCTCTTCCATCCTGGCTGTAATCCAAGCTGGTAATTACTGGAGTTTTTAAAAAGTTCAGTAACAATGGTACTGTTTCACTCAGGCTACAATTCAGGTAAATAAGGTTCCAAAGCTGTCAGGGGATGGATGATTGTCTGTCATTCCCCTTTTTGGTCAGGCAACAGAAGTCCCTTGTACAGGCAGTGCCACCCCCACCTTAGCCAAGCAAGAGTTTCTGGCACAGTCAAGGTACACTTCACCACTCAACTCGTTACTCAAAAGCCAAAGCCTAATGGGAGTTCCTGAAATCATAGAGCAGTCTGAGGATGAGGCAGGGGTGTGTTGCACCTCTGCAGTGGTTTAGAAAACACTATGTCAACTTCTATTTCTGTACATAAAAAAATCTGGTTGATATAGGTGAACTAAATTACCATAGAAGCCAATTTATTAATTGGGAACAAAACATTGCCCTATGAAACCTTCATTAAAAAAGCATTTAACTGTGACTAATGTTAGTATATTATTACGTATGATCTTAAGCATTATTAAGCAGGTGTCTGACAAATTAGTGCTGCATGTCTTCTCATTGCCTGTCAGTAAGGTGTAGTTGGTACATGGTTAATCTAAATGAGGTCCTACCGCAGCTGAAGCCCTTGACCTTTTTTATGACAAATGCAAAACCTGTTAAGACACATGCATTTCAATTTAACGTGACAAAAATCAGCCTGAGAAAACGTATCAATATACCATTTTCATGGCACTTTGCACAGTATTCCAGAATGGTTTCATGGATGGGTTCTCATTACAGCCATTTCTAATCCTTATACTTAGATATGACAGACAAATTTTGTAGACTTAGGATATTTTGAAGCATGTCACAGTAGTAAAGCAGTTGGTGACAGCAAGGATTGTTACCCCAATACAGCATGTAAGTGTGCCTGACTTTCAGCACATCAAAAGTAAAATCTCAAGATGTGTTCTTGTGGTATTAATTAACATGGAACTGGAACAACAGGATCAAATCCACATCAAGAAAAGAGGTTATGTGCCTTTCTCTGGTAGAAATCGTTGGAGAGAGGAGGGGAGAGAGAGACCAATAAAATTACAAATAAAGTTTGACCATTCACAGCTTCAAAAGTTTTGTAAGCACTTGAGAACCCATCTATCACAAAAAAAAAAAAAAGGAAAAAAAGAGGCAAAAAACTTTTGTGAGCTTGAAAACACCAATATGATTGTCTTTCTTAAAGGGACCTTTAAGAAAGCTAAAATTTGACCCCTATTCTCATGAAGTCTCTTAACCTTCCTCCCACATGTCACAGGCTTATCAGTAAGTATTTGTTCAGATGCTTTCTGATTTATGGTATAACAAAGGGAGAGGAATTGCTTTTCAAAAAGTCTTAGGCTATGGAGAATATCTTTAGAGACCATGTATCAACTCACATGCCCTCTAGAAGGAGCAAGGATCTGAAATATCCAGCCTGCAATCATAGTTACTCTCAACATTTATGAAGTAGCCACCATACGATGTTATATGTCACAAGCCTTTGATTGCCTCATGCCATTATTAAGAGGTGATGTTCAATTGTCATAGTTAATGATAAACTGATCATAAAACCATAAAGATAATTAAAGATAAATAAGATATTACCAGTATTTCTACCGCATGGATGAAAGTGCACATACCTATCAGACAAAATTAAAACAACAGTAAGTGACAATAAAATGAAAAAAGAAAGCTGTCAGCAGTATGAGTTATAAATAGAAAATTCACAAAACAATTTGAAGGTGTCTGAATTAAGAACATTAAAAATAAGATGCCCAAATAGAAATATCGCTGAATGTTCTCCAAAGCACTTTTGCACATAAGGTTTTCAGTCAAAATCCTGCTCTACAGTATTCGGCGTATGCTCTGATGCTTTATACATTAATCAGTATATTGTGCTGTATAAATTATTTAATCATGCTTTACAAGCTCTAAGAAGCCTGTATGCCAGGAATCCATGTGCAGAACCAGTCTACATTTAAACAAAGAGAAAAGCCACTATAAAAAAATCTTGCCACCTCAAATAAGTAAAATGTGGTCTCAAGTCTCATTATTTTTTTCACCTTCCTCTTATAGGATCACAACAACAGCTGCTTGCATGATGGACCTACGCAGATATCCTCTGGATGAACAAAACTGCACACTAGAAATTGAAAGTTGTAAGTTATTGGAGGGAGAGGGTTGGCCAAATGACAGCTGAGGACTGAAAGACATTGACAGGTTAGGCAAAACAGGAGCAAGTTGGTGAAACACTGTGTGTCCAGTGAGCTTGCACACTAAACATACCCAATGTATTTCTATAATGCATAAGCCAAAATATGTTTCATTCACAATATTGGTTGATCCAAGCTTGTAAGATGTCTTTCAAAATCTCTTGTCGAGCAAGTGAAGAGTTTATTTCTTGATGATTAGCTCAGAGGACAGCAACTGAGTACTGTCCATCTTCAGCGCATAATTACTGCAGAACCTCAACTAATTATTTCACCTTGGTGCACTCATCTCTAACATAAGTTTAACATCTCTCCCACATGGTGGTGGCAGGACTGATCAATTGCTTTCACCAGATCACTTGGAGGTTGTAAGAGGAAACAACTTGATCCTTCAGGACCAAGGTTAATGAGAGCTTTGTCATTGTCTTCCATGAGCATAGGAACAAGGTGTGCACTTACAAATTTTTGTTATTAACACAGTCTCTGTATCCTTTATGATAGTAGCTTTTAGAGAAATGCCTGCTAAAGGTTTTTGAAAAGAATCTTTATTCTGTTGTTGGTCAGATCAGCTGCTGCCACTGACTGCAGAGGAGTCTGTCTAAACAAAATGGTTGAGACTACTTAAAGTCCAAGGCAAAATAATGCTGCAGTTGTCATAGAATTTCCATTTTTCACATTGCAACTGTTGTGCTGAGTCAAGAAATCTTTTTTTTTTTTTTGTAATAATACTTCCCTCTAAAAGATGAGGTTCTAGAAAGGATTAACAGATTTCCCCAAGTACAGTATTTTTGTTTCCGTTTACTGCAGAGAAAGAACAATTTTAATATTTGATGGATAGTTTGAAGTTTTAAATAAGCAAAGAAAAAAGCTGATCTGTGATTAATGAAAATAATTTCCTAGTATTTATGTCATTAACAAAAGCAATATTTTTATTGTTTGTAGCACATCCCAAGGAAATAAAATCTCTGAGCAGTCCAGTAAATACAGTTTTCATTTTGCAGAAATTCATGATATAAGATTTTGCTGTGGACTGAAAGGAGGTTGACGTCCCCAGAACCTCACAGCATCAATTTTCAAAAGAATTTTATTACTCTTCAGTTGCCTAGATCTGACAAATAAAAACATTTTCACAGTGTCAAAACAATGGAATAATTGCATATAAAATGTTTAGTAGTAGTGTAACAAAATAAAAAATTCTGAACCAAAGAGGACAAGGTAACTCTGTAGCCTTAGAAAATTTTGGGAAAGATTTCAGTTTATTCTGAACTGCAGAGGTTTTAATCGACTGTACATCTCAACATATCTGAGGTGGCAGTTGTCAAGCACTGAAAAAAAAATACAGTCAGTCTAGAGTACTCATAGGCTCACAAGAGCCCAGCAGAAGAGGAGCTCTCGGCCCAATGTTTATAGTAATTTATAATTTCTACTTAATGCCACCAGAAAAAATGCCTTATTTAAGGCATTGAAATGGCCAAATACCTTCAAAATTACTTTCCATACTGAAGTAAGTCAGTGGAAGGGCAGTTTTTAATTTAGATTTTATATTGTTTGGTAAGAAACTCGAAATGGTTTCCCAAGAATTATTTGCTTTTCCTCCTTTTCCTGGAAAGTCTCTCTACAGTAATTTTATAAATTTTCTGTCAGGTTAAAAACAACAAACCTTTTATTCCACCAGCAAAAGATTTTAATCAAGTAAACATTCACAATCAGCTTAATGATAATTATTTTTACTTGAGAGCCTTGTCTGAACACTACCTGCTCATTTATTCCTTTAGAGAACTAAAAATGGTGGGGGTTTTTTGTTTTGGTTTGGGTTTTTTTTAAGATCCTAGTGTTTTGGCGTTGCATGTTGACATGTCAGAAAGAGAAGCAGGGAGACGGTTTTGTCATGGTTCCCCATGAAACACCTCAATAGCTGCAGTGCAGAGTCTCCACAGTAGCTTATTCTCTGTTCATCATTCAACTCGTTCAAGAAAGTGTCTGGAAGGACATACTCGTTGTGCACCATATCAAACCCCCTCAACAGACACAGTAGCAAGGCAAGCTGGGCCAAGTTGGTGTTCATGTGATGAATATTTGTGTTAGACCAACATGCATTAATCTTCCCTTTACATCTGCTTTCATTTAGCCTGTCCATATCTCCATTGCCCTGAGCTGACTGAAGCACCACAAACCCACACCCCTGTGTATGAACACATATATAGCCATTTTCTTCTCCTTCCCAAGAAGCAGAGGCAGTAGGCAACTATAGCTTCCTTTTCCAGTGCTGCTCATCACCCTACTGATCTCCCCAGTCACTTTCTGATAGTTCAAAACTCTGTCTGAGTGTCATAATGCACCAATTTACGGGACCTAAGAAGTTGCTTGTTAGGATACGTGGTTGTCATCCTATCCTTGGAATTTGCAGTCCCCTGCATTTTTTGGCACAAACCAGTTTTCTTGATGTTGTTTGCTGCTGCTTAGCTCATCTTCTGGCTTAAAACTATTGGGGAATGAGTCATACATTGTGTTTCAAAATAAAGTGCATGACACATCTCCTGAGTAGCTTTTCTACCTGATCAGCGGAGGAAATGGATATATACTGTACCACAGCAATCAAAATGGATGATGATACTGAAGTTGTCTCCATACTGAATTCATACCTGTATTATTTGCTGGGAGGTAGTTGATTTGAAGACTCTGTCTCAATCATGGCTGAAACTGATCAGAGTACATAAGCATTTATCAGCTAGCAGCTCAAATAACAAATCAGATGGATACTTGACCGGTTTACACCTCTTTATTCACAAGCTTTCACATAAATGAATCTTTTTAGGGATAAATGTTCAGTGAGAATTACTATCAGTGAGACCTCATCAAGAATCAAAATTAGGATCAGACGGAATAAGCAATTAAAATGCTAACACAATCAGGGATGAGAGAATACCATGTAAATCACATGGCCAGTAGTACATCCCCAAAAGAAAATTGCTTTTCTGACCTTTTGAACACCCATATAAATAATTCATGTCTCCAGAGATACATATGTTGATATGTTAATACTTGTTGAGCTGATCACAAATGGCCAACAGGTCAAAAATGGAGACTGAATTATTTCTCATGAGTACTTAGGTCAGTTCTACTATCAACTGAATGACAAAAGCACAGATATGCTTGCCTCCTACTGAAAGCCCAGAGGTAGTATATGCATCAGGGGCATTGGCATCTTTGACAATTCTCCACCTAAAATATAACTTCTATTGCACCGCAGACCTTCTCCTCTGCACCTCTAAAACTCTTGAAAATTATCGATCATACTTGGAAGAATAGAGTTCAGAAGGGCAGGCTGACTGCTTCTTTCTTAGGCATTTGAGTACAAGTAAGCCAGTTGTCCTGTGTACTCTGTACTTAGTATTACCCGCTAATCCACTTGAAGTTACAAGGAGGCAGAATGGAGAGGGTAATTAAAGAGGTGATAACCATGACACTACTCCTCTGCTCATGCCACATGTATTAGGCATGTGGTGTTTCCTTCCATGACAGAACTGGTTTATAAGAATCCCACCCTTAAGCTCTCCTTCCAGCTCCTGCATCACCCTTCAGCTATTAAACTTTCTATTTTGCCAGTATACAAATATTCACAGAGCCAGGATGAACACAAAACTGTTAACACTTTTTTGATAAAAAAAATATCCCTTTGGTAGAAAGGCTTATCCATCTCAATTTTGGGAGAGACAGAGACAGAAATTAAATAAACTGTTCCTTAAATAAAAGGGCCAGGGAAGGTGGTGCTGTAATCACTAGGCATTTCTGGAACAGCCTGTGTAATGGTAAGCAGCATTTCTCACCACTAGACAGATCCTGTGCAGTATGGGCACTGACAAACCATTTTCAAAGCACTGGAAAGTAGTTTTGTTCATTTTTATACTGTGTACAGTTATATGGCTTAACCCATGTGGCACCAGCTTCCAGAGCAGTACTGTTGTACTGTGAGAGCTGTAGGATTTCCTTCATTCCTAAAGGATGGCAGGCAAGTGACTTCTGAGAGAGTCGTTTTTCTGTCCCAGGGTGCTTCCCTACCTCTGAAACAAGCAAGCTGGAGACACATTTTCCTCTCCAAAATCTGGGTGCTCCCCAGTGCATCCACAACAACTCTGTAGCTCTGCAGCAGTGCTGAAGCAATGCTGAAGTACACACTACCTGGCCCTCTTTTGAGTTTCCGTGTGTTTTTGAGGGTGACTTACTCCTGCTGCAGAAGGAGCATGTTCCAGAGGAACCAGGAAGTCCCACAGATTAATTGCTCAAAGAATAGATGAACATCACACTATTTGCGAGCAGAAAGGCAGTGAGCCGTTTCAGCTCACAGGGATGCTGTGGAAATTAGCCAAAGACAATCCCTGAAAATCTAAAATGCTAAGAATTCTTCCTTAATAATACTTAACAGTGAGTAATTTCAGGCCTTGCAAATAGCAGCAAAAAAACTGTGTGACACAGGAGTGGAAAAGAGCACAAGGAATCAAACACTGCCCTATTATCAAACCTCCCCAGCAGTACAGCAAAGGCATGGATAATGCATGTCTATATTGAGCCAGCAGATTATTTTCATAAAAAAATTGCATTTCCAGCTTTCCAGAAACTGTCTTACAGGACTGTGGAAGCCATATATGCACAGCTGTCAAACAGAGAAATGTATACATTTAGGAGGAGAACATTTTGGGTGCACGTGTTTCTTCACACACATTTTTCACAGCTTTTCTCAAGCAGTTCACCTTATTCCAAATTCTGCAGTGGCAGGTGGGGAGACCATATCAGACGTTTTACACCTGTTCCAGTGCCTAATACCATGATGGCCACTGGAAACTTCAGTGTAAAAAATCAAGGGATTTTATAACTGGAACTGCTTCATCAGCAGAGCTGGGATCTGTAACAATCCATTTCTCACAGATTAGCATATATTGGGAAAGAGGAGA